TTTGGGAAAAACGTTGGTGTTTGATACAAACGGTCAAGGACTAAAGGTATTCAAAGGTAGGATTTGGATACCTAGGATGGGAGGAGTAAGAGGTATTCTGATGGAAGAAGCTCACAAAACCATGTACTCGATTCATCCCGGCAGTACGAAAATGTATAGGGATCTAAAACCCTATTACTGGTGGCCGATGGTGAAGCTCGATGTTGCTAAGTATGTGGCTGAGTGTGTAACTTGTGCTAGGGTTAAGGCACAACATCAGAAACCGTATGGGAGTTTAGATCCTTTACCTGTACCCATGGGTAAATGGGAAGGTATCACTATGGATTTTGTGACTAAACTGCCCAGAACAAGGAACGGTCACGACATGATTTGGGTGGTCGTTGATCGCTTCACTAAGAGTGCGCATTTCATAGCAGCCAACGAGAAATGGTCTATGGATAAACTTGCGAATTCTTATATGAAGGAAAGTGTGAGGCTTCACGGTGTTTCGTTAACGATTGTATCCGATCGTGACAGCCGTTTTACCTCAAGGTTTTGGAGGAGTCTATAAGAGGAATTGGGTACCAAGTGTGTTTGAATACAGTTTACCATCCACAAACCGATGGTAAGAGCGAACGAACAATTCAAACATTGGAGGATATGCTGAGAGCATGTACCCTGGAATTCCAAGGTAACTGGGGTAAACACTTACCTCTAGTAAAATTTTCCTATAGTAATAGTTTCCACTCAAGCATCAAAATGGCACCTTATCACGCTTTGTATGGGGAAAAGTGTCGAATGCTGTCATGTTGACTGGAAGCTGGGAAAAGCAGTTTATGGGACTTGAAATAGTCCATCAGACTGCTGAAAAGTTGAAAGTGATTAGGGAAAGGATGTTAGCTACTCAAGAGAGCTATGCTGACAAGAAAAGATAACCGATATCATTCAAAGTTGGAGATTCGGTTTTACTTAAAGTCTCGCCGTGGAAGGGACTTATAGGATTTGGTAGAAGGGGAAAGTTGAGTCCAAGGTTTATTGGACCATTTAAAGTTCTTCGGAGAATCGGGAATCAAGCTTACAAGCTAGAATTACCGGAATAACTGGAGGGTATTCATAATACCTTTTATGTGTGTTATTTAAGAAAATTTACGGGCGATGTGCCCGACATAATTCTCATTGGATGAAAACAAGAGGTTGATTGAAAAACCTGAGGCAATCGTTGACCGTAAGACTAAGAAGTTGTGATGTAAAAATGGTCGATTTAGTGCTTGTGCGTTGGAAACATATGAATGGGCCAAATCTCACCTGGGAAACGGAGAGTGACATGAGGAGTCGCTACCCGTATTTGTTTGCTGATGTGTGATTCCGGGGACGGAATCATTCTAAGGGGGAGAGAGTTGTAACGCCCGTGTTTCTAGGCTAGGCATTAATATTGACATAATGGTCTAGGTTAACCTTTGTAACTCATTTAGAAGAAATGAAAAGGAATTATGTGAATATTATGTGAATTATGTGTTTTATGCTTAATTATTAGGGTTTAATTAATTAAGAATAAAAATGAGCGTCAAAAATTAAATTTTAGATATAAGCCGATATCTATTAAGAAACTTGTAGTGGGTGTGACAAGGATTACGGATATATAAAGAATGCCGAAATCCGAGTTATAACGAAGAAGTTATGACCTGTCGAAGTTTCGCGACAAACCGGCACGGGGCCGAATGTCGTAAACAGCGAGTTTTCGATAAACTACTTTTTGACCTTAGTGATCTAAACGAAACTCGTAGTGTTCGTTAAACCGAGAGTAGGTATAAAAAGAACGCTTAAATCTGACTTCGTATGAGGAAGTTATGATTTTTCGAAGTTTCAGTTTAGCAGTAGACAGCTAAAAACTCGAATTTTAGATCGAGTGATTTTTAGCCGACACGACCTAAACGAGAATCGAAGGTCTCGTGAATAGTAGCACAATGGTAAAAAGACAGATGAAAACGGACGTCGGATGAAGAAGTTATGAATTTTTAACGGATTTCCTGTCCCAGTCTGTTAAAAATAATAATATAAAATTAAAGTCAAAATTAGCCGACGAAGTCTAAACGAAAGTTGTAGAGCGTAATTTTACCTACGCGTGCATATAAATAACGTAAAAACGGAGCTCGTATGCGAAAGTTATGGATTTTAGAAGTTTTGGCGCGAAAATCGAGGAATAATGCCAAAACCGGGAATTTTCGCACACGTGGACTTCGGCCACGTGTCCTCGCTTCGCAATCCGACGCGTGTCCGGAACCTACTGAGTCACCGAAGCCACCTGGCGAGGCGTGTCATGCTCTTCGCGAGTCCGAGGTTCGGTCCAATAGGAGGCTGCCCCGTGTCCGATCTCGTTGTGTCATCAGCAACGTGTCCGAACCGAGGAAGCTGTCCGAAGCGGTCCAATCAGAAGCCTCCAGCGAGGCCCTCGCACGCGCAACCCATGTGCGAGCACCTGCGCACCCTCGCCTGCGGACCCCACCTCCTTAGCCGACCTTCGGATCTCACTCCTATAAATAGGAGCCTTGCGAACCCTCCCGGGTAAAAATGGGATTTTGCCATTTTTGACCCCTTTTTCCATATTTTTACTATCCCGACTTCCCCGAAGCCCCGGTACTTATTCCAAAGCCCGGAATACGCCACGAAGTGCCCGAGAAGCCCGGAAAATTTATCTTTTCGGTTTTGAATCCCGACCTTTCGCAGAGCCCGGTTTCTCAATAAAACTCCCGGTTTTATTAGAAACGATCGTTTTAGGAAACGAATTGCTGCCCGATTTTCATTAAATCAGGTGAGTGTGTAGTTACTTTCACCTTACACATATATATGAAGTATTTTCTTTAAAATACGTGCTATGTGTAATTATATTGATTGTTTAATTAAGATGACTGTTGAATAGATGTTTTATATAAGTTTTAAACTGTATATATATTTTTATCTACAAATATGTTGGGTAAAACATGGGTAGATGAATTAGATGATGTGTGATGAAATAAAAGTAATGAGAGGTATCGATGTTTAAGATGATCTAGTCATCTAGCAGAGTATAGACAACGACCACAGACTATTTTAGATAGTCCAGTGGAACGTTAGTAGACTTGTAATCGGTACGTATGTTTGAACTATATGTTCATAAAGTGTTCTTGAACTATATGTTCATTAGGTGTTTTTGAACTATGTGTTCATCTATTAGTTCTTCCTTTTGACACTATTACGTGTCGGGGTACGGGAGCGTACGGGAGTACTTTATCAGTATTTTCCCTATACTTTTATTTGGAAGAGCTTTGGAGTCTTTGTTCTTTTATGAAGTGATCGGACTAGCTTCATGAGTCAGTAATATAGATTATGAGTTAAATAGTGGGTGTGTAATTGAAAGGTGAGTTGGATAGATGAGATGATTAGTGATATAGATCATGAGTTGAGAGTGAGTGGTGAAATATGGGAAAAGCTTTTACCCAAACGTTGGCGTGAGTGGTGCAATATGAGAAAAGCCCTTACCCAAACGTTGACCCCCGTCATTCAGCAGAGTAGGGATGACAACCATGGACTGTTCTAGACAGTCCAGTGGGAAACATTAGCAGGCCCGCAACCTGTAGGTGTTAATGAACTTGAGTGTTCATTCGCTGTACTCTATTCCCCTCATGATTGCCTTTAGTGCATGTGTGGCTGGGGAAACCCCTTAGTATGTTCATCAGCTGTATGGAAAACCCATTGACATGTATTGCCGGGGGGGGGGGGGGGGGGGAACACCCGTGGGAAATACCGTCGATGAATAAGAGCTATGGACTTAGCATATGGAAAACCCACTGACATGTATTGTGGGGGGGGGGGGACTCCCGTGGGAAATACTGTCGATAAATAAGAGCTATGGGCTTAGCACATGGTAACGATGTGACTTCATGTCTTATTTGACATAAATTGCAGTGGGAAGCAATGTTGTCACTTTATAGGTTGTTTTATGTTAGGATGTCTTGTTTGACATAACTTGCTGAGGGAAAGCAATGTTGTCACCCCGATGTTTGTTTTATTTGACATAACTTGTTGAGGAACCCCCAAAGCAATGTTGTCACCCCTAGTGATAATCCTTAGGCTAGGTCCCTTGTGATAGTTGTTTTAGGGATGTAAAGTGAGGATAATGGGAATGGGTAATTAGGGTTATTTTTGGTTGATGAAATTAATAAATTTATTATTGACTGAGAACTTAATAAGTTTATTATTTATTGTGGGTTGAAAACCCTATATGCTCACCAGGCTCCCAAGCCTGACCCACTCAGTTTATTTGTATCACAGGTATCGATACGAAGTTGCTTTACACTGAGAGATTAAAAGAGAAGTAGATCACTAGTGTAAATGAATGTAAGTTTTGTTTATGCTTATGTTTTTGTATTGACAATGACATCCCAATGGTTTAAGTGAATAAAATACATTTCTTTGGAAATGATTTGATAACATAGTTATCATGTTTATCTGGGAACAAATTCCGCAACACTTTTAATCAAATGATTACTCTGAAATTATTTTAAAAGCATAAATTAAATCGGTCTTTTCTGGCCGTGAAATTAGGGATGTCACTGATTTCGAGTATACGGACCTTTGGAATCTGGTTAAAAATAAACCTTTTTTCATGTAGACGACTGTTTCCGTATTTCTAATGTTTTATGTAATGTTTGTTAGTCGTAATGTTTATGTTTATGATTTTTTTTTGTAATGTTTTTATGTTATTTGTAATGTTTATTTTGTTTGAATGTATAAAAAAACACATATTTGTATTAAACAAAATTACTAAAAACAAGTATTTCATATTAATATATATACAAAGTTCTCAAAATCAAGTTATATAGTATCCCAAATAATATTTGTCATCCTATTTCTGTAGAGAAATCTCGCATCTCTACGTGGCTTATCAATCTTCACCGGTACCCCCGAAACAATCATTTTCATAAACATGCATACGAATACTCCACAATCCCCTCTATCAAGAGTATATTCCTGTTGTGGCGCGTCTACAATATCAATAAACTCCACAGTTGCTTTGTCTTTGTGTCCTTCCAGAACTCAATGGCATCTAACTCTGAGATAATACTATCTCCAAAACTTTTGAATTCTCCACTAGTAAGGTACTTTGAGAAGAAATTCATGGATCGTGTTGAATCATAAATATCTACTTTCCAGGTATCTAAATGTAGCACTGCCATAAACCAATGGGTACCAACAACATTTATGGGGAATAGAACCTGCAAACAATAAATAAATTAAATAGTCGTAAATTGAGTAATATTTAATATATAAACAAATCATAATTAAACTTAACTAACCATATCCACATCCTTCCATTTAGGACGGCCTCCAACACCATTTGCTACATGCCTAAAAAGAAATGATTTTCTGAGTTGCAAATTGATTTCTTGAGGATATATCGTCCACCTTGCGTTCGCCGACCGTCTTTCCATGATCAGGGCAATCCATATCGCAATATGTTGTACATTTTTAGATAAAAATGTTACAATTATTTATATAAATTATCGTCTAAAAAAGTAGTTCAAATTTAAATTTAACAAATGTTACCGAAGAAAGTAACCACCCAGAGTCAGTAACTGCAAGTAACCTCGACCAAAACTCCACATCCAGTGGGAGTATGTGCAGCCTATGTTTGGTGTTGAGGTTGGAAGAGATCATACTCCATTCTTTCCAAAAACTCAACGTACTAGCAGCATGAACACTGTCCAACAAGAACTGATTTGAAACATCATTACTCTCTTCATTCACAATGTCTTCATTTGCTTTTTCAGGACTCTCCACTGCTTTTTTTTCCTTGTTTTGTTGATTAATTTTCTTCACTTTTGGTGTGGATTGCATCTAAAAAATTAACATGTTAAATAATTATCAATAATGTTATATTTTATAAATATACCAAATTTAAAATATGAGTTTTGTACCACTGTGAACGGAGTCCGCTAATACCAAGGAACACCCCTCCAGTGACGGCTCAACATGCGTAGGTGTACGCCCAACTCCCCCTCCAAACCATGACTACCTAAATCATCATAGCTCAACTGTGTACCATGGTAATATGTTTCTTCCTCCTCTTCATTTATCATCTCCTCTTCCTCCTCCTCCTCATCTCCAAACCCTATGTCTGGCTTATCTTTTTTCTTTAATACACGATCTACTTTAGAAGATAAGTCAGCCACAATGCCTAGTAGACGCTTCACTAATGCCTTTGTGCTCGTCTTCTTCTTCTTTACCAACCTTGTTTATGTGTCGGTTGACATATAAGTTCTTTCTATATCAACATGTTGTGAGGAAGAAGCATTTGTGCCAGATTCAGTAGAAGATGTTTTCCGACTTGTACTTCTTTCTTCGAGGAGGCGAGGCAACAACAGGTGGACTATTTCAGACCGGACTATGTTGCGGTGGGGGAGACTCTGGACTATTTCGGACCAGAGTATGTTGCCGTGGGGGAGACTCTTGATGGTTAAGAGTCCAGTTCACATAGCGAACATAAAACGACAACATCAGCTCCGTCGGGTTTGCCATGACAGAAATAGTTGGTTGTTAGGCTGCAAAAATCAGATTGTTAGTTTAACATGAAAAACATTGGAATTTGTAAATATATATAATCCTTAATATTAAAATCATACCAAAGACACGTTGATTATTTGACGACATTAAACCCAAGTTAACGGTGTTTTACTTCTCCACGACCTCATCCGTGGCAATTCTATCGGCGTGTGTATATAAAACTGGGTTGCCTCGAGGAACGTCTCCAAAATCCATATTTATGTAAAAAATGTAAGCATAAACGGAACTATGATAACTATTTAAATGCGTTAGAAACTAACCTTAAACGGAAGCATAAACCGGGAACAATATACTTGTGTACTTTCTTGGATTCGGGATTGACCTGCTTGAATAGTCTAAATTCTTCTATTTTCTTAAACATTCCACGCATCAACCACAAAGTATAGGTCCAGAAATATGTACCCCATGCAAACCTGTAATTTTTAATTTATTTTTTATAATTACTATTATTGTAATTATACACAATCTTTAAATGTAATGCCTGTTTCAATCATCTATATTATCAGCAAGCTTGTATACTGTCGCGGGAATGCCCGTTTTAACGTCCCGTCCGTGGAGACCTTTCAACATAAAAACAAGCTGGATAAGCATTACAGCATCTTCATCCTGAAGTGACAAATAATTCGGAGACATAATGTAGTCTTCTAAATCTTCCAGCCGCAAACGTGCATCAGAAATGTCTAGGAACAACCGAGCACGAAGATTTGAATTTGACCGGCCTTTTTGTCATAGAGTAAATCCACATAAGAACCAACTTTTAAACCACAAATGAGAATATATTCAGTTTCACCAAAATCCAACTGCATCCCCTGTAAATCAAAAAGAAACCTCCCCATTTCAAATACTTGTTGAGACCTTACTTCGTGCAACATCATCAAATGCACAAGTAAGGGATCACCATGTGGGATATGCATTCCTAAGAATATTCCAAACGGCAAAGCTTCGAAGAATAGCCGTTGTGATTGTGTTAGGCGCGGAAAATAGTCTTTAATAATAGTACCCACCACGCGTTTTAAAGTTAAATCCGATTTTTGATTGAGATCATCGTGCTACAAAACATAACATTTAATTTTATATAAAACGTTAGTAATTGAAAATAAATAGCAACATACTTTTTATGTATAACTAAATACCTCATATATATAAAGGGATATAAAAGGGCAGAAATTTTATTTTTGGGAAAAAACATTTTCAGGTCATTCCGCGGAGGCTAGAGATCATTCCGCGGAGAACCCTCTGAGGAGTGACCTCTAGCCTCCGCGGAGACCCAATTTTGGTGACTTAGATCATTCCGCAGAGGGAATACATCACTCCGCGGAGAATCCTCTACGGAATGACGTATATCTCCGCGGAATGGATCTTCCCAAAATCGAACCTGTGAATCTTTACATCCCAAATCTAAATATGTATATATATTTCCATGTAATCAATTGGATTTTTGTAACAATTGAATCATATACGACATTAATCAAAAGAGGAGAATGTGAGAAATACCCGGGAGTCGAATCCATCAGCTAAAATATCGGGGAAATTACCCTCCATCGGTGCCGGAGTTTAAGTCGAATATACTCCAATCGCCGGCAAATGACGTCGTCTAATGTCGTTGTCGCCGGATTTGAAGTCGTCGCCGGAATCCTCGATGTCAACAGTCGATGCGGAGGAACGTTTTTGCCAAAGCGGAATCGGGGACCAACGAGGATGACTCATTTTTGTCAAAAAAAAATGAGGGTGAAATTACAAAACTACCCCTCTCCGCGGAGGATTCATGGTTCCGCGGAGGTCCGCAGAAGGTCCTCCGCGGAACGCATGTCTATATCCGGAATTTTAATTTTTCATGTCTAAATTTTTGAATTTATCCCCCATTTTATGCCTATAGCCGGTATTTTCCCGGAAATAAAACTGGAATACACAAAATCGAGGAAAGAAGAGTCAGAATTAAATTTTATTTAATTATTCAAAATAATAATTATTTATATGATCTTTCGTGTTAAGTATCCCGGACTAAACAATACAAGATTTTTTGGCTTATATCATAAAGTTTTAACATCTAAATTTTTATGTATTCAAATCTTTTCTAAAAACTATATTGTGTAATAGTTAACTTCTTAGTACATGCACATATTTTTAAAGTTCAACTAAACTATTTTCGATCGGCTCATTTAAAAAAAAAAAAAATATACATTCATTATTTATTATTGTAAGGGATGTTTTGTTGTTTGTTTTTTTTATTTTAATGGATGTGTTCATGTATTTGTCTTATATTACCTTATATTAGATAATAGAAAATTCAAAAAAATTGTATGCCATATCTACTTTCATCTAAGGTAAAGTTTTCAACATGACTTAGAATGGTAATTCTCTAATTGTATTGTAGACCATGATGTTTTATTATTCATGAAATGAACTACATATTTACTTTGTTTATTTTATTTTCCTAAATTTAGTCACATTATTTATAATTTATTCTGTTGGGTTTATATATGATTATTACATTACAGGCATATATAATTTGTTATATCTTAATGTCATTTTCATGATTTATTAGGGTCGTGAGTTACAATGGGAAAATTGACGTTTTAGCTGACAAAACTTTATTCTTTGTAAGAATCATGCACCAAAAGTAAAGATTTAATAAGAATAAATATTTTTTTTACAACCCACGAGCTTGTCTTGTGAAAGGATCACAACTTCCATGTATTTAATAAGAATAAAACTCAAAAAGTGATATTATATTGTATTATACAAACTCATGACTTTTATAAAATATGTGGATTTACATGTGTCATTAAATACTTACAAATTACAAAGTTATTAAAAAAATACAATATTACAATTCATAAGTTTTTTTAAATTAATGATATATTATTTTATTACATAATCAATTTTTTAATTTTATTTAAAATTAACACATGTGGGTTCCACGGGTTTCAACATATATATATATATATATATATATATATATATATATATATATATATATATATATATATATATATATATATATATATATATATATATATATATATATCATGTGAAACTATAGATTTTATTTGATTTTTTTCTTTAAATTGATTAATGTGAATGATTATTTTTCTATAATATAAATTGATTAGAGCAAATTTAACATGGAACGTTTAGAAACTTCTAACTTTTAGCGTTTGACAAAAACTCTGTTTCGAACAAAAAATCTCATTTGACACTGCATGCTATTAGTGTTTAGTTTAAACAAAATATTTCAAATCTAAAAATTATCTAACGTAGTTTAAATCACTTCCTCTGAAATAAAATAAACTTATAAAAGGGAAAAGATAAATGACATTCTCACGGATTTCAAAACCCCGTGACTCCCCACTAGGGATGTGCGTTTGGACCGAATACCCGAACCGAAACCGAAACCCGGACCGGACCGACCCGAATTAGGATCGAATAAGTTATTTGGGTTGGTTCTCGGGTATCTATTTTTGCCCAATTCGGGTTTCGGGTTTTTCGGTCCGGGTTACCCGAATAAAGGTTTAGTCGGGCCAAAAAGACCGACCCGGAAAGTGAATAGTCACTTGAACCGAATAACCCGAATAAACCGAAATGACCCGAATAACCCAAATAAACCGAAATGGCCCGAATAACCCAAATAAGGAAATTCTATTTTTAGTTCAAGAAAAAAAACATTAATTTAATATTTTTTTTCTTGAACTAAATATAGAATTTCCTTATTTGGGTTATTCGGGTCATTTCGGTTTATTTGGGTTATTCGGTTCAAAAACATAGTGTAAATGTTTGTTTGGGTTATTTCGGTCCTTTCGGGTTAATAACCGAACCGAAACCCGTATTACCCGAACCGAACCGACCCATATTAGTATAATCGGTCCAGGTTTCGGTTCCCACTTTTCGTCCAATTCGAGTTTCGGGTTATTCGGGTTCGGGTCGGTTCCGGCCCGAAGCACATCCCTACTCCCCACGACTTAAACACCGCTAAGTCTTGTCTAATAAGCGACTTTATTATTACTATATTTTTTTTTCTCGTATCTTATCTTTTTACCATTTGGTAACATAAAATATTGAATCAATATTAAGATATATATATTATCGTCAATTATTGATTTACTAATTTTCTAATAATTTTTTATTCTTGTGTGATCTGTTGTCAACAAAGAAAAATGAGGAGATTATAAACGTTATTGCTTAGATGTATTTCTTTAAATTTTGTTAGTTTTTGAAGGCTATAGTCCTTCTAAATCACATAAGCTCAAGTGTTTTTTGTTTTTAAAAAGGTAAAA